AATAGACTTCTGTGCTCTGCTTGGAACACATAGCAGCGCTTTGGAGTTTTTTCTTATCAAAWGAAAGATAAAGGGACCCTCGTGGCTATSAATTTCAAAGTTCTCTAGCTGTAACACTGCTCAGCTTGTTAGCTAGTGCAAATTTGAGGTTACTATTGATTGCCTAAAGGACATTCAAGTTGCAACTTCCTCAAAAAAACACTAGTGAGATTCCTCCTGTGGTTGTTACTGCAATCAATCTGAAAACCATAAAAAAACAAAAACAGAATACAAATGACTGCATCTGTCATCTACTGTCATAAGGCCAAAATCGGACACATTYCCTTGTAACAACTATAGTTTTAGGCTCCTCAAATAGAATTCGAGCTAACAAAACCTAACAACTAGTAATCCCTTGTAACAACTAAGTAGAATTCGAGTGAAGCTGTCAGGTGATTGTTGAAGCAAAAAACTTCAATGCCGAGTCTAATSAAAATAGTCTTCAGATATCTGTTTCAATTCATTGCTGTGTTCTTGAAGGTTGGTAATCGCAACCTCCAGTCCTTTACTAGCAGTTGCATTCCCTGGAAGTGATTGCATGGTTGCACCGTGCCTTCCAACCACTTAACTTCCTGATCATAGTTGTCAAAGTGAGTAGGCTTCTGTTTATGTGGCTGCCTTCCTTCAACCTAGTACCATCTGCATTTGTTTGAGCTTCACAGCCAGCAAGATCCACAAGACTCAAGCTTGCCAAGAGATATCTTCCACATCTTGATTCTTCATAAAGACTACTACACTCAATAGTCAGTCTGATTATCTGATGTGATCTTGAGCTTCGATCATTCAAAGAAGTTTCCCCAAATTGCCTTTGAGCTTCACAATTAGCAATTAAGAAACGTGACTTCTGTTCATTTCCAAAGATCAGGTTATTAGCTAAACCTTGAGCGATTTAACAAATCCTATTAACCTGTTCAACCAGCAGCTCTATGTGATTTTTGAATCTCAACCAGATGATCAATTTGGTGACTGAACAGCTCTCAACCACTGGAAACCATCAACATTTGCCCAATTCCTAGTATCATCATACATATTTGATTCCTTCAAATCGCTTTCAATCCCATCATACAACAAACAGTATGGTGCAAATCGAACCCCAACACTCTGCTCGATTATGGGTTGACTTTGAACAATCAGACAAACATTAATAAGCCTCAAGCAAAATCTCAAAAACAGATTAAAACTGTGAGCGACTAAATTGAAATCAAACAATTTCTGCTATTGATTTAAAATGAAATTGGACAATGAAGGTCMAACACAATTGAGCGAAGAAGTTATAAATCGAACAAGATGGTCAGTGAGCGATATACTAATCCGGTGAAAATGTGTTGAGCGATTTATGTGAAATCGGACAATGAA